TTCTTGTTTTTTTCGGTAAAGTCACGTCGAAGGGAAATAATAAAATAATAAAAATCAAACAATAAAATCCTCACGACATTTCGGTTGCAACACAAGCAATCATCATCAGGTGTGAAAACCACCTGATGTGTTGCAATCGAAACGTCGTGAGAATTTGATAGTTGTATTTTGATTATTTTATTATTTCCCTTCTACGTGACTTTACCGAAAAAACCAAGAATATGATTTCCACCTTTTCAGTCTCATCAGCAGGGTGCAGCCAATTATAAACGCATGCTGCTGATTGTGTGGTATCAGAGCCCTCCATGAATACCGTGAGCTAGCTCAGTACAGAACAGCACATCTGGTCTCATGTCATATTTATAGAGCGCCTTAGCTCAATGCGCATTACATCGTTTAAAAAGCAGTTACAAAATAGAGCGATTTAGATGGTAGGGGCGTGCAAGTGAAGTATTGGAATTGACGGCAGGAACTTCTTGACGGGAACACACTTTTATTAAATCTTTACGTGTCAGAATACAACGTGTGGTCTCCCTTCTTCCGACTTCACACTCCACTAATCTCGTGTAAACTCTAGGCCTCTGGCTACACACGATACACTTCACTCGTGTAGACCCTATGCCTCTGGCTACACAATACACTCGACTCGTGTAGACCCTATGTCCCTGGCTACACACAATGCATTCGGCTCGTGTAGACCTTATGCCTATGGCTACACACACTACACTCGCCTCTGGGTTACACAGAGTCCCGGTCCCGTTAGGACAGCGGGACTAGGTACCGCAGGGCCCTAGGTCTTCATCCCCGTCTTCATTCTTCGCTGGTTACACACTGCCCTTACGCCTGTGTGCATCCCCTTTTATAGCCCCTGCTCACGAGAGACGGAGCTGATGCGGACGTCGACGTGAGCATCGTTCCTTAGTGAACCAATCACGACGCACTCTCTCTACGATCCGTTTTCCCCAGCGCGTGTTAACACTACTCCACCAATCACACCGCGCTGCCACCCGGTCACTCCCTCTCAGCGCGTCACCGGCCCACAGCCAATCATTACCCCGTAACCCACGACCCCGCGCTGACCCCTGATCCTCCACCGTCAGCGCGCGTCACCACATACACAGCCAATCATTACTCGCTGGCATACGATCCCTAATCCCAGCGCGTATCACCTCTACACAAGGGCCGAGGAATGAGCGACCATAACAGAGGGCACAATGGGGGTCACGAAAGGGCTATAGGGGCGGGGGGATGAGAAGGAGTGGAGGGGCGATGGGAGGTAAGAGGAAGGGGATGGGCAGTCGAGAAGAGGTGAGGCTTTGAGAAAGGAATGGAAGGAGGTTAAAGAGGCGGACTGCTTCATGTGCAGGGGAAGTTGATTCCAGTGGAGGGGTGCAAGGAGGGAGAATGATCGAAAACGGGAAAGGGCACAGGGAGAAGGAGGGACAGAGAGAAAGAAGATTGGGAACAATGAGGACAAGGAGGGGAGATAGAAGGAGGTGAGAGAGGCAAGATGAGGTGGGGCAAGGCCATGGAGATATTTAAAGACGATTGTACAAAATTATACAAACTTAGTATGTATGCACTATCTTGGCATGTTGCCAGTAATAAAACAATAAATAATGAGACCAGGATCTGTTTATTTGATTACAAATTAATATTTGATATATCGGACAAAATGCCTTACTTTTTTGGATATACAGTATCATATTCTGCAAAATGGGGTTATCGATACGAACATCAACATTGGCTTCTCACCAGGTTTTGCAACCTCAGAAGGTAGTGCCTATTTTACTGACCTCAAAGGGATGATGGGCTAAGTTAAATCTGGCTGGGACAAGAACTCATACTACCATAATTTGGAGCCAGCTTGCCCTGCCAACTAAACTCAATTTAGCACAGTTGCTCTTATAACCACCCTCCATCTGTCATGAGCACCGCTGGATTATGTAATCGGGCATGCATGAAAGGTGCTAAGCTGAATCTTTACACATTGTCGATGACTGTATGAATTATGCTCAGTGATTTAGTAAATGTTTTGTTGTTACACATTCTGCATGTCTGAATAAACTCAAAACTAGCATTTGAAGTAAATTATCAATCCACATGTCGCTCGTTCAATCACTCTATGCAGCAGTCGAGGCGATGAGACACGTTTCTTGATTATCCCATGCGACTCTGCACTCAGCACCATTGATTGGTGAACCAAAGGCAATCCGCAGGTTGAATGTGGTGGGGTAAAGCGTGGGAAATCCCACCTCTTACGAAATTCATGGCTTGCGTGGGATAGTAGGACAAAATGCACTCATGAGGGGCTCTCTAGAGCTCCCTCTCGTGCATGCCCTTCCACCACCAGCGGGGTGTGTAAGATATTGCAGGCTGTATCTTTACCTGAACATCGTTAGAAAGTCAAAATCATTATTCATAAGAGAGCTTGGTTTATATGACTTACCAAATGTGTAATGACGACTTGACACACTTTCTTGAGATGGTTTATTTTTTTATTTAAAGCTTTCGTGACTGCACGGATTCATATTATTGGTTCTTTCGGTAAAGTCACGTAGAAGGGAAATAATAAAATAAAATTTAAACAATACAATTCTCACGACGTTTCGACTGCAACACAAGCAATCATCATCAGGTGTGATTGCTTGTGTTGCAGTCAAAACGTCGTGAGAATTTTATTGTTTTATATATTTCCCTTCTACGTGACTTAACCGAAAAAACCAAGAATATGGTTTATTTTATTAAGGAGCCACGTGCTCACACTTGAACAGGCTGAGACCCCACTGCAATGGCCCTGAGTCTCCCGCTCATCTCCCTTATATACGGTCTGAGGCCACGCCCCCATTCCCAAACCTTCTCGCTGGTTCTAGACCGCTCGCTATAACAGAAAACTCCACTGTCCTCTTCCGTTACCTGGCCACGCTCCTATTCTCGATCATTCCCGTAGCCACCAGTCCCTTCGTACTGCAAGCTGACTCCCCTGTCACTACCTTCCGTGGCCACTAGTCCATTTGGACTGCAGGCTGACTCCCCTGTCATTACCTCCCGTGGCCACTAGTCCACTCACACTACAGGCTGACTCCCCTGTCATTACCTCCCGTGGCCATTAGTCCATTCGCACTGCAAGCTGACTCCCCTGTCATTATCTCCCATGGCCACTAGTCCACTCAGACCGTAGGTTGACTTTACTGTCATTACAAATGCAACCAAATATAAATAAAACAACTCAATGTAAGCACTTAAACGAAGCCATTAAAAATTGTGATTTGGAATCAATGAGTAGATCAGTAAAACATGGTGAGACATTTCATGTACCCTGGGACAGCCTTCAAAAATACATTTTTCAACTGAGAGCAAAATCAAACATTCAATGTCATGCTGCAGAGGTTAAAGTCCTGATGATCGAACAGAAAGCATTGAAAAAGTGCGAGAATGCAACTATAATAAAATAACCACGACAGGTATGTACACTGCATGGAAAATTCCATGAGCAAAAAGTTTCCTCTGTGATATTTGTGTCACGCAACTGGTACAAAATTGTCTACTTCTGTGAACCACATCACAGTACGAGTCCACAGCAGGAAGCACAAAGTGTACCGTGTTGCTAAAGTGTGAGAACTGAACAATTGCCTCCATCTAAACGGTCTCCCTGGCAAGAACAGTAACCACCATTTGGTTATCCTGCTGTGGAAAATAAAAATTTGAAAATATAACCAAAACGCCAGTTTATATTAATGTGCATGGGGAGAAAAGCTTGTAAGGTTTCTGTTACACGAGTTTGATTATATCGTGTGAGATTGTGTTTTGATGGAAAATATAAAGGTGCAGCCCTGCAATTGCTTGTTTGCGCCACTGTTGGCAGAAGGGCCGCCGCTGGGGGAGCTCAAGGCATCAATTTTAAAGGGTGTTTTGGCCTCCTCTTCCACGCTGGCCAGCCAACTTGGAAGAGGTGGGAGGCCCCATAATTGACCTCATCACACGAGATCTGCTGATTGACTAACTGTGGTGGTCCCGTTAGTAAACTAAACTAAATTATACGATTAATCTAAACTTATTTTATTTGACCAAGTAAGGCTCTTTTTCAGAAGTGACCTGGCTACAAATATTAGCTCAATGAAGTGTATTATCACGTGAAAATGCATTGCAGCCAAATACTCTGAATGGAATGTTATCTACGCGACCACGGGGAGAACATGCAAACTCCAAAGAATCAGGGTCGGGATCAAACCCACAACCTCCTGCATACCAGGCGAGGGAGATAACATCTCGCCACCGTGGCGCCCAGGTCTGAAGGGTGTACTGCAGGGTGGACAGAGGCGGGGGGGGGATTTAAGAAAATTGCCCAATTGTTTCAACTACCTAGCAAGAGATCCAATGGTGTGATAACTATCACACTACGGCAGCCTCCCATGTCTTGATGACCTCACGAAAAAATATTCAACAGTCGGTGATTGAACTTGATTAGCAGGAGGACCAAGTGGTCACGTGAACCATGGATTATGATGTCTAATATAAATTTAATGATTCACCCCCTTGGTGATTCGATGAATTCTCAGAATTGGATTCAAGAATCGATTCGTATTTTTTTTATTACAATGAATGAAGAATATTCTTGGTTCTTTCGGTAAAGTCACGTAGAAGGGAAATAATAAAAGAATAAAAATATAAAACAATAAAAAATTCTCACGACGTTTCGACTGCAACACAAGCAATCATCATCAGGTGTGAAATCCACAGCATACACACCTGATTTCACACCTGATGATGATTGCTTGTGTTGCAGTCGAAACGTCGTGAGAATTTTTTATTGTTTTTATTTTTATCATTTTATTATTTCCCTCCTACGTGACTTTACCGAAAGAACCAAGACTATGAATCCCTGCAGTCACGAAAGCTTTAAATAAAAAAATGAATGAAGCCTCAAATGTATGCATGGTGAACTCATTACGAAGCCAACTGTGCTTATCGGAGGTGCAGCCGAGTGTCATCGCCCTCACCTTGATGGCCTTAGCGGCCTGTGCTGCCGCATTGGCCGTAGCCTCCTCGGACTCCACGACCGCCTTGGCAGCTTCCACCTCCAGAGTCTCATCGGCAATGATGTTGACCAGCTCCTCCGTCTCCTTGCTCCTCTCAATCAGCTGCGGTTCCAGCTCTGTGAGCTCCTGCTTCATCAGTGCGATCTGCAAATGCCCAGAGAAGTATCGAGTTAATAATTCTAGATTTGAAGCTTTTGTGACTGCAAGGATTCATATTCTTAGGTTTTTTTCGGTAAAGTCACGTTGCCTCTGAAACGTCGTGATTTTTATTTTATTTTTATTTTACTTTATTAATTTAAATTTTTTACCTACGTGACTTTACCGAAAAAACCTAAGAATAAGAATATCGAGTTAATACTAGAGCCGTGCAGTTACTGGAAGAAGAAAAAAGTCTAGGAAAAAATGTATGACTGGTCCAGGCCTGCAATGAGATGGAGGCCACCGAGAAGAATATAAAACATTTTACTTGTGATAGTGCATTGGCAGTGTTGCACAAAAGCAGATGAGATTGGCCCTTCTTCTTTGGCATGAAGTAGGCTTATTGCCCAAAATGTTACTGATTACAAATATATAGGTTTCCTTTTGTGGCAGTGTTCTTGATGAAGGTGTTGAGGTTTTCAAGAGAACATTAGGTTGCTACATTTTAAAGGGATTAACTGGTTGGTACCCCATCAGTGCTTGTCTTACAATCAAATTCCCCATAAGAGAATGATTGAGCCCATCAAGCGATGGATGATGAATACAAAATAGTCCCTCTTAATGGGAGGTCAATGGCAGTTGTCCTCTGGGTAGACTGGTCACTGCCATAAGAATGTGGAATTGCCTTCACTTGCTCAGGACCACCAATAGAAATGAGCGATATCTAATGCTTGTTTGAGCAGAGACATTTTTGGGGTTTAGAAATCAGAAGATACCCAAGCAGAACTGAAGTGGTATGTATGATGTTGTGGTTGACGTTTCAATATTCAACAATAAACAAGGTTATGCTTATGCACTAGAACTTAATGGTCCCGGGTTGCTATTCAATAAATAAAATGGACATTTATCCCAGTTACTCTGCATAAATCTCACTGCAGATCACTAAGACCTCTCTGCTGTCAAGAATGAATTCCACAAAGTTAATTTATAATGTAAATTATCCCCATGGGTTGTATATTATGATGAAATATGCGTGCAATGCAGGAGGTATATTTAGCGTATTTTGCAAGCAACTGCCAACAATGTGACTGACGGATGAAAAAAGTATTGAAATTAGATATTGTTTAAAAACAACGACAATGAAAAAAATAGCTTTCAGGCATGCAATGATGCCCTGCCCCTCGTGATATGATGAACTGCCACAATTTGACGTTGCTATTCAATTCAAGGATTGATCTATTTTTTTGTTCTTTGTGGTAAATGTAACACCTCGAATGACTGCGGGGGGTAGTTTCGTTAAGCCACCACAGTGCAAACAACGTATCATCATGAGCCATTGTCGATGCACTGCTGGATTGAGAGCCTCCCCCACATTCCAGCACTGCGACGATCAAATAAACCCGGGACTCCCACGGACAGATCTCATCGCTTCACATCCACGGTGATCCTCCTCTTGGAAATGTTTTCGAAAATATATGTTTATATATATTTTTAGCAGATAAGAACCACTGAGATATATACATAAAACCTTGGATTGCGAGCATAATTCGTTCTGGAAACTTGCTTGTAATCCAAAGCATTCGTATATCAAAAAACTCGTATATCAGTTGTAATCACGTGACGCTCGGCAGACAAAGCATATACGTACTACTCGTATTGCAAGACCTCGCTCGTTTATCAAATTAATAATTATTTAAAAATTTTGCTCGTCTTGCAAAACACTCGCAGACCAAGTTACTCGCAATCCAAGGTTTTACTGTAGCTCTTTTTTTGGAAGTGACCTGGCCACAAATTATCATTCGACAATGTGGCTTATCACGTGGAAATTTATAGCAGTCAGATACTCTAAACACATCTTTCTAAATGTGGAGGGAAATATGTAAAAACAAAAATGTGTCGTCACACACTACAGGTCGATATGTATTTGACCTGAAAACTATCGAAATATTCAGTTCTTGGGGATTGTTGACATAGTGATTTGGGTGCCTCGTTTGATTCCGGGCCACAGCTGATATCAGTGACGAGCGATATCGGAATCCTTCCTGCCCTCCCCCATTTCACCGACCCGCATTGACCAGCATGGTGAAGTATGGTCTGAAACCTCTGTGAGTGACATCGTGTGGAATGACCTTCAACCACTGGTGGAGTGAGAATGGCTGGAATTTGCACGTAGCTTCAGTTGCATGTTTGTTTTCATACGCAATTTAAAATGTAGTTTAACGGTGATGAAGACGACTATATCATCCACTCGAACTATATTTTACCCAAATTTAATTTTCACTGCTGCAGATTTATTTTACAGTTGCTCTGCCCCTTGCCATTGCACGAAGTATATTGTTCCACTCGTTAAGTAATTCATAACATTTCAGTTCTACGTCAACAGGTAAGTCCATCATGCACTTTTGTTTTTTTAATTTTGCATAAATTCTGCACCCCCATGACCAGCTCAGTGTTTTCCTCTTCAATGCATCCGTCTCAATGGTTATAAATAAGTAAGATGATTGCGATGGTCTTGCAACTCTTTGATGGTGGCAAGATCTCTCTTGAGACTTAAAACCACGTTCAGGGAAGACTAATTGTGCTTCGGTATATGTGAGAGCGGTTTGATTGTTTACACCAAGTTTAACGGTGATTGGCAAAGTCATCAGTGAAAATAAGTTCACCGATCAATAGCTAGAAGCAAGGCATTGATTCCTACTTCAGTGTTATTAACCGTGAAAGGATTATTCAGTTGTAGGCTCCATACAAGCTTGTCTAACACACAGCGGCAGGCCAGTAGAAATAATATTGTCCTAAAGATTTCGTGAATATATTTAATTTCATAACTTAAGCAATTGTCTTTGTCTTCTTTTCTTCTTTTTTTTCTTATATATAAAAGTCTCCGCGCGTTCGCGCTTGCGGGGGATTTGGCTCTTGGACGGTGGGCTATATGTAGAAAAAAAAATGACAGGCGGCACGCCCTAAGCCCTGCGGTGGGAATAGGCTATTTCATTTTCCCATCCCTAAACTTTAAAGTTGTTTAATTAACACATTTGTGCCGTTTCTATTATTAATATTTACTTACATCGACCGTACCAACTGACGCCCATTGCGTGGGGGGGGCGGACCCTGCCAAGGGGGACATTTCCTTTTACGCGTTTAACAGCCAATACATACACACATCACGCTGCGGATATTTCTTCACAGTGTAATGTCCTCTTCGCCCCCCCCCCCCCAACACGATGTGTCCAGTTTATACTACAGAAGACTCCCTAGCTAATAATATTTCACTGCTTACATACCATTATTCTTGCACGGGCGTGGGATGCTGGGGGGGGGGGGGGGTAGCGGCCCAGCCCCTAGCCTGGCAATGTGCCAACTCCGCCGCCTCGCCAATGTAGGCCAGGAGGGCGGCTATGCATGGCACAAGGCCTCAACACGCCTATGGTAAGTACACATTTTCAAGCTTCTTGCACTAACAAATCAAGTCCAATGTTTTCTATTATTAAACACATTAGTTGACAAACATTACAATAATTATGTTTGTGTGCACAAAACTCTTTATTTTTAAGTTGCTAAATTTTCCCTTTTTTTGCTGCGCTTTTATGACGCTGCTACGGTCTGCCAGTCTGTGATGTTGCCATGTACGTCCATGTGTATGTGTGTGTCAGTCCATATGTGTGTGTTAGTCCACGTGTGTGTGTTAGTCCACATGTGTGTGTCAGTCCATATGTGTGTGTGTTAGTCCACATGTGTGTGTTAGTCCACATGTGTATGTAAGTCTATACATGTGTGTGTCACTCGATGTGTGTGTGTAAGCCAATGTGTTTGTGTGAGTCCATATGTGTGTGTTCATCCATGTCTGTGTATCTCAAGTAGATGTCTGTGTGTCACATGTGTATGTGTGTAGGGCTGTGTGTGTGTCAGTCTATCTATGTGTGTTTAAGTCAATGTGTGTGTGTGTCTTAGTCCATATGTGTGTGAGTAAGTACATATGTGTGTTTACGTCAATGTGTGTGTGAGTCCACGTATGTCTGTGTGTGAGTCGCTGTATGTGTGTACGTCTATATATGTGTGTGTAACTCCATCTGTGTATATCTCAAGTGGATGTCTGTGTGACAGTCTATATGTGTGTGTACGCCAATGTGTGTGTCACTCTATGTATGTATGTGTGTGAGTCGCTGTATGTGTGTACGTCCATATGTGTGTAACTCCATGTGTGTGTATCTCAAGTGGATGTCTATGTGTGTGTCAGTCCATATGTGTGTGTGTTAGTCCACATGTGTGTGTTAGTCCACATGTGTATGTAAGTCTATACATGTGTGTGTCACTCGATGTGTGTGTGTAAGCCAATGTGTTTGTGTGAGTCCATATGTGTGTGTTCATCCATGTCTGTGTATCTCAAGTAGATGTCTGTGTGTCACATGTGTATGTGTGTAGGGCTGTGTGTGTGTCAGTCTATCTATGTGTGTCTAAGTCAATGTGTGTGTGTGTGTCTTAGTCCATATGTGTGTGAGTAAGTACATATGTGTGTTTACGTCAATGTGTGTGTGAGTCCACGTATGTCTGTGTGTGAGTCGCTGTATGTGTGTACGTCTATATATGTGTGTGTAACTCCATCTGTGTATATCTCAAGTGGATGTCTGTGTGACAGTCTATATGTGTGTGTACGCCAATGTGTGTGTCACTCTATGTATGTATGTGTGTGAGTCGCTGTATGTGTGTACGTCCATATGTGTGTAACTCCATGTGTGTGTATCTCAAGTGGATGTCTATGTGTGTGTCAGTCCATATGTGTGTGTGTGTCTGAGTCCATGTGCGTGTGTGTTAGTTGCTGTGTGTGCATGCCTCCATGTTAGTCAGTGTAAGTCCATTTCTTTGCGTGTCTGTAGGCCCATGTATGCGTCTTAGTCCATGTGTAGTGGCGGTGCGCGCCGACAAGGTGGGGGCGTGGGTGTGCGCGCGCCGGGCGTGGCTACATCGAGTGTGGGGCGTGTTGACGCACACTGACAGTGATGGATCACGGG